GCTTTCATTAAAAACCTCATATTTTATTGATGAATTATGAAACCCAACTTACTACACATTAAAATCTATTGGACATCAATGATACTGAAATTATGAATATCCTGAATTTAATAATAGCATATTTGACTCATATATAATTAGAAATATTGAAAATGTTAATCAATTTCGCCTCCTTGATATTGATAATCGTGCAGGTATCCCATTTAATACTTCTACACGATTATTAATAACATCTATAAATATTATTCTCTCATGAACTGTCGCATCATTAGTTATTAAAATAGATGCAACAGCAGGACCTATTAATCAAATATCATTAATTGCTTACCAACCAGGATTATTTTTTGGTCAATGCTCAGAAATTTGTGGAGCTTACCATAGATTTATGCCAATCGTAATTGAAAGAAAAAATGATAATAATTTAATTAATTGAGTTATAAAATTAAACTAAAGAATTAGTTAATCAAATATAACATTAAATCGTCAATTTAAAATTATTATTATGATATTCGCTTCATTTGGTGTCTGAATTGAAAGAAATGGTTTCTTAAACCAATATACAGAGTGTTCCGTAATTTAAACGCTGAAAATGGGGACTACACCAGAGGTCATTTAAAGTAACATTTAAAAAAAATACGAAAGCAATTATGCAGCAATCTAATATAATGATTATGTATAGACGATCTTTTATTACAGCGGTGCACGGTGAAATTTACGAGACCCAACTCCACCTTTCTCACAAGCCTGGTATTTGACTAGACAAAAACAAAAATTTAATACAATGGAAAAGAAAGGAGACAGACGTACATTATTATCTGATACAATAAATATGCAAAGAAAGAAACTTCTATTTTTAGTAATCTTCGTCTTAGTTTTGTAATTGTAGAACCAATTTAATTACGTTTTTCGATAAATCCTTTATTATAAATTGTTTATTACTTAATCTAAGAATAACTTAATTAATCCGATTTACAATGTATTCGGATTCATTTTCATCGGAAAAATCTGAGCTATCCTTTGATGATATATAATCATAAAAGAACACACATTTATGAAAATGAAATTTTCTTTATTGTCCGCTTATTTGTAAAAAAACTAATTCATGCATGTATATCATTATGACATTTAGGTGACCTTGAATACAATAAATCACGTTTTAATGGGAAAATGAAGTGAAACAAATATGAACGTGTTTTAATGTAGAAAAACGTACTTCTGTTTTAGGTGATGATCGAAATGACGTGTCCAACGTCGTCTAAAAGTCATGATGTTATACATAGATGAATTCGTTTTTTTGTGAGCTATAATATTGCATTTACGAAAATATACCGTACCATTTAAAAAATCGACAATGACCTTGAAAATTTGACTTAAAAATACTAGAAAAAAATTGATTTCACTTTTATATTCGTCCCATGAAATCATGTAATTCTTCACGTGCACATTTTTATCTAACATCAGACATAACAGAGTCATTACGAGCGTTCAAGATAAAGTAAACACCATATATACGAGATCTTGATTTCGTTATGTATTACACTGTCCGACACGATTTTTGGGTTCCTATAGCCACTCTGAAATTCTTATAGAGCTTCACTCCCTGAACAAGAATCCGAAAACCGAATTGCTCCATCACCCTCAGTTTTTTAAATAAACGAACTTTTGTACAAACCCAAAATTTTCGACAAAAATGAGGTATTGCATGAAAAGTAAAAACGTTAGAAAGTTCTAATTGGTGTTAAAAGATAGAGACGAGTTTCCCGAATATAGTGGCATGCAATTTATTAATTGTTTTTGGTCCTAAATATCAATAAATTGATGTCAAAGTTTAAAAAAGTGTCGACGTGCGCAGTTTCTGTGCAATATTTTTGTATTGTTACGAAAAGTTTTTTGTTCAGCACGGAAACTCTACCCAGAATCGGATTCTGTAGACATTTCTGAAGAAGAAACGGCCCGATAGAAGTGTCGGAACGATTTACATTTTGAGTAGGTCGAGAAAAATTGTTCGTCGGCAACATGTACACGATGTACATGTGATTTTGCCGCCATGTGCTTCGCTGCTCGCTTCTCTCTGTCCGACAGGGCTGAAGCTATGGGTAATCAACACCGATGGAGGGATCCAATGGGGCACCCACTTAGCGTGTGGGGCGTGCCATTTTTTTTAGTACTTCAATGTGCTGTCTTCTTTTACATATTTTTATGGATAATAATCACCAAACTGTGAATCATAAATTAAAAATGGAGAAATAATAAAAGAAAAATAATGAACAAAAACTATTCATTTTATTCTGAATTTGTTCGAATTACAAGTATATCATGTATACAGTTATCATTTAAATTATAACGATAATTCGATCATGAATAAATAATCATTTTCAAAACGTTAAACTTCTTGAAACATATTGTTAAATATATATTTAAATATTTATTTAATTATATGGCGTAGAAGTCAAAATTATACTAGTGTTAGAATACTTTCGTTACCAACTCCAAATACTCTGGTGTGATTTTTTGTGTGAAATATATCACAGTTTGGTGATTATTATCCACAGAAATATGTAAAAAAAAAACAGAACATTGAAGTACTAAAAAAAATTCAAATATTATTTACGAAAAGTGGGTGCCCCATTGGATCCCTCCATCGGTGTTGATTACGCATAGCTTCGGCCCTGTCGGACAGAGAGAAGCGAGCAGCGAAGCACATGGCGGCAAAACATCGTGTACATGTTGCCGACGAACATTTTCTCGACCTACTCAAAATGTACATCGTTCCGACACTTCTATCGGGCCGTTTCTTCTTCAGAAATGTCTACAGAATCCGATCCTGGGTAGAGTTTTCGTGCCGAACAAAAAACTTTTCGTAAAAACAAAAATATTGCGCAGAAACTGCGCACGTGGACACTTTTTTAAACTTTGACATCAATTTATTGACATCAATTAGAACTTTCTAACGTTTGTACTTTTCATGCAATATCTCATTTTTGTCGAAAATTTTGGGTTTTTACAAAAGTTCGTTTATTTAAAAAACTGAGGGTGATGGAGCAATTCGGTTTTCGGATTCTTGTTCAGAGAGTGAAGCTCTACAAGAATTTCATGGTGGCTATAGGAACCCAGAAAAAAGGTTTGATTTTGTCGGAGAGTGTTATCAAAGACACTCCGAAATTGTTTTGATGAAAGATTTACCGCTTTATTCACAAAGTTTTTTGAAATTATCCCGGAAACCAAAGTCGAGTGATAGCGTCATGTATTAGGGACAGATGTTATAAATGACGTTCTTGACAACACATGTCAATATCAAGCTTATCGGAGTTGGGTCTGTTAAAGCAAATATTTACCAATTTGATAAAAAAAGTCGAGTTAATTATTTAAAAGTAATCAATACCCAAGATTACATCAACTGTTTAAATAATTATCAAAGTATTTACTTTTTTTTACAACAATGTCAGCTAATTCACATTTTTAGATAATTGAAAATATTGTTAGCTACAAGCGTATCAGCCTACTACTTGAAGATGTTATAATTAATTGTTCCAATGTTTTATTATTTATCGGAAAATACAAAATATCTCATATGCGTAACAGCTCCAATTTCTATATGTTTTTTATAGATCTAATATTTCCAGTCATATATTCTTCTTGTCGACAGAAACACTGAGGAAGTATCCACCAGGAACTTTGTTGAGGAGAAAATGTAATAAGGAGTACACCTTTAGTAATACAAAAGTAACCATTCCAAAAGATACTGGAATATTTGTTCCGGTATACGCGCTTCATCATGACTGCAACATTTATCCAAATCCAGAAGTTTTTGATCCAGAAAGATTTAACGATGACGCAGTTGCAGCGAGACACCCAATGAGCTTCTTACCTTTTGGAGATGGACCACGAAATTGCATTGGTAATTTAACAAAGAAAATTTAATTATACTTTGAATTCGATTTGTGCGTGTTTTCACTTTTTTAAGACCGTAGAAGATGTTTTACTACCCTCGTTGATTACTATAAGCCATTATAGTCTTTGATACTTTCTTCTCAACACCCTGTATATTTTTACAGCTTCTACAATTTTCAATGCAGAATATTTGACAAATATTTGTGTCTCGTTTATTTCAATTTAATTTGTAATTTTTATTTGTAGGTGCACGGTTTGCAGTTTACCAAACAAAAGTGGGTTTGATAAAAACGCTAGAAAATTTTAAAGTCGTCGTTTGTGAGAAAACAATGATTCCGTATGAAAGTGATCCACGTTCCTTAGTACACGGTCCAAAAGGGGGAATATACTTAAAATTAAGCAAGGTAACAAATTTAGCTGAGACTTAAAAGAGATTAAAACAAAGTTCAAAATGTTAAGGATATCGAAGCATCTACAAGAAATAGATATCAAAGGATTACTAGAACTATGAAATTCATTACTTTCTTCATAATTGTTGCGTCCGTACAATAAACAGAGAGAGAGAGTCGAAGGTAATTTGGTTAAATAAAGTAAGGAAGTAGTGTATAAGACTGTATTTCCGAAAGAGACCTGTCGCCAATCAGTATGGCATTTGGAGGGGGGGGGGGTGAGGAAGCAGATTTAGATGACAAATATATAATATTGGTTTCAGTCATTGAGTAGTTTTCAATACATTAATGAAAAACCTAAGCGAACCTAAGCTAATCTATCCTAAGCTATTTAATCTAACCTAAGCTAATCTAATCTAACCTAACCTAACTTAATCTAATATACAGGGTGTTCCACAATTATTTTAACAGCCGAAAATGAGGGGTAGCTGAGGTCATTTGACGTAACTTTTTCCTTTGCGAAAATGCAATCTGCGGCTTTGTTTACGAGTTATTAACGAAAAACACTGGCCAATGAGAGGTGACGGTGCGAGAGAGTCCGCAGCACGCACTGTTATGAACACGCGTATAAATATTGTGACGTTACACTTTTGTGATATCATCCCACCATTTTATGAGCGGAGGAAACCGCTGAAGCAGAGGACCAGACCACCTCCTCTGGGATTGCGCGAACACGACACAGGCATGAGAGCAGTTCCCGGGGAAAATTCAGTGTAATTGTGCCTTCGAATTCCTAATAAACCGGTCCCGGATTGGGACCGTACTCTAATCTGTTGGCCACACTAAAATATCCTGCGTGTGCGACATCTCACACATGGATCAACAAACCAAGGGACAACCAGGACCATAGCTCACTGATCGTCCATATTTGATGTCCTGCCGTGGTTTCATCGCGCCAAAGACGAACTCTATTATTATACGTGGGTGGTGTGGAGGCGCACTGAGAGGATGTTGGGACTCCCCCTGGCCGTCGGGAGCGACCGCAATTGGGAAAATCGTAATCGGTCTGAGGCCAGCGGCTTTCCACGCGATGACCCTGACGAATTTCCGGATGTCGTGATTAGACAGGCCAATCGGGGTTAAGACCCGCTAATAAGGGAGGGGAGGTGCGTAGAATCGGCTCCCGTCGTTGCCGAAAGTCGCGAAGGATCATTATCAAGCGAGTAGGTATAGTAGTAATGTTCTAAGCCATGGTGCTCCAGTGGTAAGTCGAACCGCGGGGCAAGAGGGAGGAATCCAGCCGTGGCGAGCGCTGGTGGATATGGAGGGGGAAGTGTGGCCTTGAGCGCAGGTGGGTCTGGGGGCGGAAGTGCTGCCGCGAGCGCCGGTGGATATGGAGGGGGAAGGGCCGCGGCAAGCTCCGTGATGGGGGGAGGGGGGTGTCTCGCGGTTTCTGATTTCGTAGGCGTTATCGATAGTCGCTTACCTTTCGGTCTTCTTATCTTATTGAATTTAATTATGCAGCGTTTTTTATCGCGCTTGAATATTTACATTGTAGGAGATGTTTTGGGGTGAGAGGGAGGGGTAGACGCATCGGTTTCTCTCTTCCGCAGCATTTTGTAACGAGTCTGGACACGTTTTCTACAACGGTCTTCTCGTCTTATTGAAATTTAATTATGCCGCGTTTTCTTATCGCGCTGAAACAGCGTCGATGAGAATGCCGAACCGCGGAGCAAAGGGGGTTAAGGCGTTTTCGCGAATTTGCGGTTTCGCATTCCGGATGACTCTCGGACACGTTATCTTCCCATGGTATCAGTTTTCTCATGTTATTGAATTTTCTTTCGCTAAATTCGCTATTCAGTCTCGAATCGTTATGGAAGTTTGATCGTTTGCAACATCCATCGCGAGCGTGCCATCCTTGCAATCCCTCGCAACGTCCAAAATATTTGAACACGGTGTTCATAATTTTTCGGATTCGACACAACGGATTTTTAGCCGATATTGCAACGTTCTTTCGTGCGACGTTTATTGCGTTTTTCGTCGGAGATATCCGCACGTCGTGACTTCATACGTGGGGGCATGCTCGTTCTTACCGAGGGACTTGCTCGAATACGTGCTATACAATAGTATCGAAGTTTTAAGAGTAATCGTTCCATCGATACCGCAATGCCTTTTGGATAGATGTTTGGAGACGATTATTCGTAAATTCCGTCGAACCGATTACGTTTACGCGGGGACAACGTCGACGCCGCTATGGAAATTTGAACGTGGTATGACCCAGGCTGATTTGCTTCCTCCACTCAACAAGAGAAGATTGGAGTATTCGTTGTTCAGCGACGATGAGGATTACGATATCAGTAAAATCGTACCGGACATTAATTTACCGATCAAAAAACTCGAGGCATCGCGCATGAAAATCGTATCAAAGCATTTTTCATCGAGCGACGAAGAAGATACTGCGTGAGCAACGAAAATGATCCGCGATACTAGATACCATCGGGATGGGAGAGAGTCGCAACGTTTGGTTGATGCAAAGTTTAGTTAAATTTGTTAAAACTGGTAATTTAACCGAAGACGTTAAATTGAAATTGAAAAGTTTGCTTCGTAAGTAAACGTGAAACATTTTCGTAAGATGATGCAAGTGTACAAGGATATGTTACAATTATTGACTCGTACGTCGACGTTGATCCAAACTGTCGACGAGTATTGCGAATGGACGAAATCGTACATCGAGTGTTCGCGGTGGTGTAGAAAATGCATGAACATCGAGAAAATAAACCGAGGATTCATGAACATAAAATCGAGCTTACTCTCGATCGTGTGTCGCATGAAAACATTGAACGCCACGCTGTGTCATCGGATTTCGCCTCGCGTTGGCAGAGGTTTGTACGGAAGCGTTGGCGCGAGAGCATCGACTCTTCGTTGGGAGAACATCGAATCGGCGTTTTAGAATCGCACATCGATCGGCATCGTGATCAACGTCGAGCATATCGATCCGCGTACAACGTATGGTGGCCTTCTATCCTCGACAGCCTTAAGAGACGAGATTGCCCCGCAAACCTGTACAGACTCGTTCAGAGTTACCTCTCTGGGAGAACTGTACAGATTACAAACAACAATAGCACAGTCGGAAAAAAACGTCACAAAAGGCTGCCCACAGGGCTCTGTCCTGGGACCAAAGTTCTGGAACCTGATATTCGACGACCTCTTAAACAAAATAACGCTGAATGACATCAAATGTGTCGCGTACGCCGATGACCTCATAATCCTAATCTCTGGTGATTCCAGGAGGGAGCTTGAGGTCAGAGGCAACGCGGCAACAAAGCTTATCATGGGATGGTATCAGAAACATAAATTCCACTTGTCGGAGTCCAAAACTGAAATGATTCTCCTGAAGGGAATCTTTGACATTAATCGACCTCCCACAATTAAAATTAACAACTCGTCCATAAAAATGAAAAGGGTCGTCAGATACCTGGGAATAAACTTCGGTCCCAGATTCAATATCACACCACATGTTCAAGAAATCTCCAGAAAAAGCAAGGCAGTATTTCAGGGTCTTGCCAGGATATGTAAGTCATATTGAGGACTAAATTAAGGTACCACCCTCAGGCTCTACCGAGGCGTCTTTGTGCCAATAACAACGTATGCCGCCGCAGGCTGGGCGGACAAAGTCAATGTCCATCACCTGCGGAGGCTACAAAGTGCACAGAGAAACGCCCTCCTTAGAGTCACCAGGACGTACCGTACAATATCCAGCGAGGCCCTCATGGTACTGGCCTCTGCTAAACCAATTGACCTCGTCCTACAAGAGAGAATGGCAATATACCATCTCAGGAAGGGAGAAGTAGCAAAAATTGGAGATACGATCTTCTCGACTGGCACACCCACACAACACTCAGATAACGACAATACAATAATACAAATTACACAAGACATAAAAAACCACACCCTGGGTATTTGGCAGGAGAGGTGGGACTCTTCCCTCAAAGGTAGAGTCACGCACCAGTTCTTCCCAGATATCAGGGCGAGGATGGGTGTGAAACTGGAGCCGGATTTCTACAGCACGCAGTTGCTGTCGGGGCACGGCAAGTTCAACGCCAAATTAATGGCGCTGAACTTAGCCTAGTCTGACACCTGCAGATGCGGAGAGACCGACACAGTGACACACCTCATCTTCGAATGCACACTCAACGATGCACACCGCACAACATTACAGAAACACGCCACCAAACACCACCTCCCGTGGCCGTGTGACTTGAGGAGGCTTACTGAGCCGCCAATGATAAAACATCTCCAGAAATTTGCAACCGAAGCCATGAAAGCCCGCGAATAGGCAGGCAGTCGGTTTCTATGGTCGGTTCACGGCTACGTAGGCATCCTACTGTCAGGTAGGATGTGCCGAACCGCCCATCAAAACACTCATGTATTGCACTTTAGCATGAGCCTGCAAGGGACTGAGCATATGCCTGACAACCCCGCCTCCTCGTGGCCCCCGTTGTAAACACTGCTCCACTCACCTCCAAGCGAGGCTTGCACAGTGGAGCAGTGGCTAAGTGGGTTGTCTCCTGAAAAGGACAGTCCACCTTCCAGATGATCCCCACCAAAGGTGATGGAAGGGTTTTTCACAGCACGCCTCCCCTCGCAGTGGTTTCTGCTTGTCTTTAACATCGCCAGTATAAGCTGCATTCGGCAGCTTCGGTATGGCCTGAGTCGGCGTAAGCCTTATCGCTCGAAATAAAAGTAGGCAATTAAATATCGATCCGCGTTATTTTTTGCAACACGCGAAGCAAATAGTTACGAGTCGCGTTACGGAACTCTTGAACGATCATTCGTCGTTGAAAGTGAACGTGGTATTGGAGGCGGAATTTATGTTACGCGGTGAGGTTTTGGTGAAAAATAGGTAGAAAAAACATCTGCCTTCCTAGTCCTCTAGCGGGTCCCGGATGAAACGTTTCCCTCTCTTTTTCCTGTCTCCCAAACATGGCGTCATAACCGCCAAAAGTACTATCCACGGCCGTTGTAACAGTTGAATAAAGTTGCCCGTTTATATTTCTTGTTTTAGAACGTTGTTTAACTCATTTTAGTTTGCATTCTAGTAATACTAAAAGCAGAATAAAGATCGCACGTTCTCATTTACCACAAACCGCCAAAGTTTTAACACGCGAAACGTCGCCTTCTTCCGATCGTCCAATCTACGTCACTGGTACACGAAAGATGTTATGCCCACGCTTCTGACCACGATCCAGAAGTTTCAAGAACAGGACAGCGGATGGACGTTGTCGAAGATCTTGCACTTGATGGTGAATTCCAACAAGTATCAACCGTTGCATGCAGGTTGCGGGATACCCGTGCCCCGAGCAGTGCAACTGAAGAGAGCCGTCGTCAACGTGAACAGTAACGACGACGCGTGTTTCTATTGGGCAGTGGTGGTAAGTCTGTATCCAGTTAAAGTCATTCGTATCGCGCATCATCCTATCCGCATTACAGCGATGTGCTCCGTACCGAGGGATTCCAAATGCCGATGTCGTTCAAGGACATACCGAAGTTCGAAGAAGCGAACGACGTTTCTGTGAACGTGTTCGAATGGGATAGGAAACGAGAAAGCTGTCNCCCGGATGAAACGTTTCCCTCTCTTTTTCCTGTCTCCCAAACATGGCGTCATAACCGCCAAAAGTACTATCCACGGCCGTTGTAACAGTTGAATAAAGTTGCCCGTTTATATTTCTTGTTTTAGAACGTTGTTTAACTCATTTTAGTTTGCATTCTAGTAATACTAAAAGCAGAATAAAGATCGCACGTTCTCATTTACCACAAACCGCCAAAGTTTTAACACGCGAAACGTCGCCTTCTTCCGATCGTCCAATCTACGTCACTGGTACACGAAAGATGTTATGCCCACGCTTCTGACCACGATCCAGAAGTTTCAAGAACAGGACAGCGGATGGACGTTGTCGAAGATCTTGCACTTGATGGTGAATTCCAACAAGTATCAACCGTTGCATGCAGGTTGCGGGATACCCGTGCCCCGAGCAGTGCAACTGAAGAGAGCCGTCGTCAACGTGAACAGTAACGACGACGCGTGTTTCTATTGGGCAGTGGTGGTAAGTCTGTATCCAGTTAAAGTCATTCGTATCGCGCATCATCCTATCCGCATTACAGCGATGTGCTCCGCGCCGAGGGATTCCAAATGCCGATGTCGTTCAAGGACATACCGAAGTTCGAAGAAGCGAACGACGTTTCTGTGAACGTGTTCGAATGGGATAGGAAACGAGAAAGCTGTCGAACGTTGTATCTAACCCCGAGGAAACGGGAGAAACACGCGAATTTGTTGTTTCTAGAGGACACGATAAATTTGCGGAATCATTACGTCAGTATAAGGAATTTATCCCGTCTTGTTTCATCCCAGCTCAGCACGCGGCATCATAAGTATATTTGCGATCGGTAAGTACTGTACTCGAATTTATTTTTGTTTCGAAGAAGAAAATTATAGCATGAATTTGTTTCAGGTGTCTGCAATATTTCAGATCGCAAGAAAAATTGGACATTCACGTCGCCGACTGCGGTCGAATGAACGAATGCGCTTTGATACTTCCGACGGAAGACGATAAGTGCCGGAAGTTCAAAAACCACGCGTACAAGGAACCGGCGCCGTTCGTTATCTACGCAAACTTGGAATGACTGCTGGAGAAACAGAAAGATCAAGGTCATGGAACTTGTCGCAGATATCAGCATCACCGTGCCTTCAGTGTAGGCTACTACCTTCATTGTCGATACGACAGCTCCGTGTGCGAGTATCGGACTTATCGCAACGAGAAAGATTGTATCGCGTGGTTCGCATCGGAGTTTTACAAGTTGAGCCTTAAATTGCAGCCGGCGTTCGATCGGACGGTTCCGATGGCTACAATGACTGCCGCGCAAATTTCGGAATTCCATACCGCCACGCATTGCCACGTGTGCGAAGAACCGTTCGGCGATCGGGACGTACGAGTGCGCGATCATTGTCATTTCACGGGCGCATATCGTGGTCCGGCACACAACAATTGCAATTTGGGCTATGGTTCTTCGTTCGTGGTACCGGTGTTTTTTCACCACTTGTCCGGCTACGACGCGCACTTCATCACCAAGGAGTTGGCTAACGCGTTCGAAGGTAAAATAGATGTGCTATCTCTTACGAAAGAGAAGTATATTTCTTTTACGAAACACACACGAAGAACATGGACAAATCATGGAAGAAACGTATAAAGTTCCGATTCATCGATTTCTTCAAGTTTTTGAACTCCAGTCTGGACGAGCTGTCATCGTATCTTGACAAGAGCGATTTGCCTCGGGCAAATTTGTGACGACGATTTCCATTTGCTAACCAGGAAAGGCGTTTTCCCGTACGACTACGTAGCGAGCTACGATAAATTAAGCGACTCCCGTTTACCGCCGCGCGAAGCATTTTACAGTGAACTGTACGACAGCGAGATATCCGACGTCGACTACCGCCACGCGAGCGGAGTTTGGTCACGTTTCAACATACAAACGTTAGGGCAGTACAGCGACCTGTACTTGAAAGTAGACGTGCTGTTGTTGGCGAACGTGTTTGAAAATTTTCGCGAAATGTCGCTCGATAATTACAGCCTCGATTCAGCGCACTATTACACGTTGCCCGGTTTCACGTGGGACGCGATGCTACAGATGACGAAGATCGAGTTAGAATTGTTCACCGACGCGGACATGCTTTTGTTCGTGAAGCGGGAAATATGGGGCGGGTTGAGGCAATATTCGCATCGTTACGCGCGCGCGAATAACAAGTACATGTCGACGTACGATTCGAGCGAACCGTCCACCTATCTGATGTATCTCGACGTTAATAATTTGTACGGTTGGACCATGTCGCAACCTTTGCCGCACAGAGGTTTCCGATGGGTCGACGATGCGAGCGATTTCAACGTCGATTCCGTGCCGATCGACAGCCCAGTCGGATACATTTTAGAGGTCGACTTGGAGTATCCCCAGGAAATTCACGATTCTCACTCGGATCTTCCGTTTTGTCCGATTCACGAGGTTAGAGCGTTGCAAAAGAAATTGCTAGCAACGGTTAGCGACAAGAACCGTTACGTTCTCCATTATCGATACTTCCAGCAATGTTTGAGGCATAATTTAAAATTGAAGAGAATCCATCGGATAGTGGAGTTCGAGTAATCGAGCTGGTTACGTGCTTACATAGATTTAAACACGAATCTGTTCAAACTGATGAACAATGCAGTTTTCGGAAAGACGATGGAGAACGTGCGAAATCGCGTGAACGTGAAATTGCTCTCACGATGGAGCGGTCGACACGGTACAGAACGTTTAATATCCCGACCAAATTTCCACAACTATACGGTATTCTCCAAGGATTTTGTCGCGATTCAAATGAAACAGCTTTCGATTAAATTTTATAAACCCGTTTACATAGGCATGTCGGTGTTGGACATGTCGAAATTACGTTTGTACGACTTTTTGAAAATTTTGTACACGGACACGGATAGTTTGATTTATCGGATTGCTTGTGACTATGCGTACGAGACGATAAAACGTGACATTGACCGACACGATACCAGCAATTATGATAGAGACAACGCGCATGGTGTTCCAATCGCTAACAACAAAGTCATCGGATTGATGAAGGACGAGAACAGGGGCAAAATCATGACAGAGTTTGTGGGTCTTCGCTCGAAAATGTACCCGATTCAGGTACAGAACAAAAACGATGTGAAAAAAATTAAAGGAATTAGGACCAACGCGACGATCAAAAGTATAACTTTTGACGACTATGGCATGCCTTTACGATCACTTGGAAAAGTCGGTTTGCATTAAATTGATAAAATCTGTAAAGCATAGCGTGTATTCGATATCGCAGATGAAGTTAGCGCTGAGTCCGTACGACGATAAACGCTACATTACCAGTAATTCGATCTATACTCTTCCTTGGGGACATTACGATATCGCTAGGAGAGAGAAAACGGTTACTACTCCATGATCTCATCCAACTTTTCCTCCATCTGACGAATTCCAAGTTGCGCGCGCACTCATTTATACGAGTGGAACGGGGACGTATACGCTTCTTAGTCTTGTGTGTAGGGAGGGGAGGCAAAATGGTTGGATAATTGCATATAAAAACTCAAACATTGCGAACAGCGAGTACTGCGTTCTACAGACAGCTCATTGCACAGTCATTCATCGGTGTTATTATTATATACGTACATACCATGTTAAATCAAACCGATAATTTTGTGTACAAAAATGGATTTGACAACAACTTCAACGACGATGACGACGACGGTGGTGGTGCAAACAAACGAAAAAACTATGGGTAAGTAAAAAGCATTCCTTTGGGTAGAAGGAATTACGAGTTATGAAGGTAATGTGGTTTTTTTATAGACACTTCACTCCAATGAAACGAACG